TACTGCACTGCTACCACCACTACCATACCGAGACTATACTGTTACGAAATGATGCCTACTTCGATTTTTGTTCACGTACTTCTGCTCTTTGTTGAAACTTTCCCCATTCTCCATGATCTTTCGCTGCATTTTGTTTGATTGTAAGCTCCATGTGCATTAGACCAGACATTCCGTCAGTAGAGACTTTGGCAACGAGCAAGCTTAAAACCAAGACCCGTAAAGCCCTAAGCATGTCCACTGCGATCAACGCGTGAGGGAGAGATCTGTTGCTTGTGGTAACGTCGAAAATGAACTGCATAGATCCGAATTATGGTTTTCTATCTCAGGCGAAAAAGGAAAATTGACAAAGGATCCGCAAGACAACCCTCAAACCCGGGAGCTAAACCGATCCCGACAGAGAGCTACGCAAAGACATAGTACCTTTGAGCCTGCGACCCCTTCAGGATGTTTGTGGAGTTAGGCACTTTCGGGTTCGACGGCGTTTTGGGGGCTGAGGCTTGAGGGTTTGGTTTTGAGTTTTAGGTTCGCCGCTTCAGGTGTAATCGACAACATCCTTCGAACCCTCAAATCCTTAACCTGAATCCTAGCTTTTTGAAGGGCTGGCTACTAAGGAAAAGGTCTATGGAACGTGGAAAGTCTTGCATCAAAATCCCAGAGGGCCCAAGCGGATACTCGATCAGGCCACCCTTCAAAAGTACCAGGCCCCCGCATCCCATGCCATGGAGGGAATTACGGGGGGTTTTAGTGCTTCTTGCCTTCAGCCTGTCGCTCGTTTCGAGGAGTCTGGTGCTTTGGGGGTTTCGGGTTACCCAGAGGCCCCAAAGTAGCTCCTTTTGGGGATTACCCTATAGGATTCTATTTATGAAGCCCAAGAAGGAACTACTGAAATTATACGTAGCATGACGGGCTTGGTGTCCAGATTTTCGATGCAACTGCTAGGATCGCATGAGGTCGTGGTGTGCCCATGATCGTCATGTCATTTTGCCGCGATGCCTCCTCTTCAGTAATGCAGGAACCTGATTAACAAGCCCTGGGCCTATAACCCCAAAATAGTAGGATTCACATATAAGGAACCATAATAAAGGCCGAAGCTTTCTTAATCAGGCTCCTACATTAGAAGGCTCCAGGTGTCTCCGGAAACCGCCGCAGGCGGACCATGAGAGGCTTCTGAGAGAGTTGGTGCCCCTGCGCCGTGATACGATGCAGCTGCGAGCTGAGGACGTGGGCCACATGGGTGGCTGTCAAAGTTATGGTCCCTTTTTGGGCACCCTAAATATTAGGTGCCGTGCTATATAAGGACCCCAAAAAGGGACCATCATTTTGACAATCACCCGCATCCCAAAGAAGGAGAGCAGTAGAAAGTCCTGCCCCACATGTGCCTAATCTGAGTTTGGACGACTAAGGCTGTTGACGCCAGAATGGAGGCACGTGTGGTTCCGCTGAGACTGAGGGTTTATAAAGGGTTTGGGGGATTGGAAATAGATTCATTCTGTTTTTGGCCCTTGCCGTCCCCAAAAGAAGGGGCTCCAGGTCCGCCGTTCTGGATAGTTCAGATACTTTCGGGGGTATATGTCTTTCGGTCTTTGGGGTGCTGTCGCGGTTACCGTGGCTGCTGAAGCTGCTGTTGCTGATGTCGTTGTCGGATAGCCTTGTCCTTCTTGCTGTTTGTCAGTCATATTAGTATGCTATATAATTTTGCTAATGTGTTGTTCTGTTATTGTTTTCTTCTTCTTCTTTCAATTCAGACGGGGCCAGTGTGTTTGGACCCGTAGCCCTGTGTAGAGTGTCAGCCAGACCTTCCATTTGGAATCAGATACCACGGGTGACGGGGGTTGAAGCTCACAGTACAACTCTCTTTGCCACAAGAAGCGCCAGCGGCCTAGTTCAATGAAACCGAGTATTCAGTTGGACTCACTGAGACCGTCTTGGAACTGAAGGCCAAGCAAAACCTGCATTTGTGGATACGATATCCCTCTCAGTTGACACACCCAAAGGGTCCTAAGTAGCCACAGAGTAGAATGTAGGGTTTCTATATTGGGAGTTAGTATTATGGTTCGGGGAAGTATCCTCCATAACAGTACGTCGCACCCTTTGGGAAAAAAAAATCCTTCTCCAAGCTTAGGCCAGAGCCCCCAGCACGAGTGCTGAATCTCCAAGCTGTCTGGTTTACACGCTTTTTGTCAACCCACCAAAACTTTCACGAGAACTCCGAATGGACACCTTTGGCACCCTCATGAGCCCCGAAACAGCTCAAAGAGGTTCTCTCGAAAGTACTCGGACCTCCCGGGAGCCGTGAACTGGCGCAGACAATGGGTGCGCGCACTGGAGGCCATGCTTCCCTTTGATGGTTTTAGTTTTTGGTTGGGGTTTTTGGGTTTGGGTTTAGAGTTTTGGGTTTAGAGTTTAGGGTTTAGAGTTTTGGGTTTAGAGTTTTGGGTTTGAGATTTTGGGTGGTTTGAGGTGGACGGGTTGAACATTTCAGCTTCGCTTCTACAAAGGATCCAGGAGACCTGAGGATTAGGTGTGTGGGTTCAGACTTCTAGAGATGTGCTGTAGCTTAGTACTGGGGGGAGCACCGACTCTAGGGGTGTATAGTTGCTAACAGGATGCCATTAAACTCGGGTTTGTCGGAGCCATTTCCGGGTTTGGGGCTATACTTTTACGGTCTAGAGTCTAGGGTTAAACTCATGGGTAGCTTAAGCATGGTTATAGGATGTAGGGGTGTGACAACTTCGACTGTGCAGTTTCGTGCATAGATTATAGTTGAAGGCCTCCTTATACCAGGTCCCAGAACGGAGGTGATTCCTCGAAGGGACACAATAGGCACCCGTGCAGCTTGGCACAGCGCTCGTCCCTACACTTCGACATGCTCCACTGATTTGTGGTTGTGGGTTTAGGGTTCGGGAGTTAGGATTAAGGGGACCCTTGGGGATAAAGACCCTCTCAATCAGAAGTAGGGTTCAGAAGGGGTACCCTTAATACTACCTAGGGTTCTCAGGGCCTCCTCAGTAAACTCTGCACTTGGATGCTAGCACAAGGATCGAGCTTGGCGGCCAGTGAGGCTGCCGGCGTAGTGTCACCGACGTTCGTAGATCTTCACTGTAGTCACTGTATCGTTACAAGCATTGCCGAATCCGTGGTTGTACCAAAGCTTTGGTGAAACCATGACAGATCATGGCAGAGACATATGACATATGAAGATGAGACTTCCAAAGAGACGCGTCTTGGCCCAAGCTTGCCGATGCAACTGGCCACAGCTTCCGGTTCAGCAGGAGCAAGGTAGCTCTCACCGGCACCATTCGCTGTGAGGCGTGCGCCAGACAGCCGAAAACGGAAGAGCCGAGAATAGTCATACATGCATTCACATTCGTGGAACCTGATATCCGGACCAGGTCTTTAGCAGGTCTACAGACTCTCAGTCCATTTCTGGCGGCAAACTTCCAGTCACTCTGAAAGCACAGAGAAATGCATGCATACGTACGCGTGCCTGCACACATGCCATGTGTATTACTGTGTGCGTACTTTGGTGGATGAGTATGTTTGTCATGGTTTACACTGTACATACCCCACGCAATGTGGATGGATGTGATTGGATTGCACTGGATGGATAGATGGGTAGACGGATGGATGGAATGCTTGCATGTGCATGAATGCAGGTGCATCGGCATGCGAGCTCCTGGAAACTATGCGTGTTTGTGTATTTGATGGTTTGTTTGCGTATGTTCGTATGCGTGCGTGCATGCACCACATATGTTATTGCTCTTGTACCTGCAGTTGAGAGTTTAGCTTGAGGCTAACTGCAATGCAGCCGTTGCAGCAACGAGCCAGTGCGTGAAAAGTCCATGTTTTCACAGCACGCAGTTAACCGCCACGAGCAGCAGGAAGCATAAAGCAGTGCCAACACGAAGTCCGGGATTATTTATCCACATCAGGTTCTGGCCGCGGCTTGGTCCATCCATGCTCCACCTGTCATTGCGGTGGTTTACGAATTCCACTTCAAAGCTTTAACCGTCACATATCCCTAGTTGGGATGCAGGGTCTACCATGTAACCTCAGACTAACGACACGGATTTACTAGGAGCCACTCTGGCAGCATGCCAGATCTGCTTAGGCTTAGCAAGCATGATGCGGAACGAGGGCGCAGGTGCGCAGGGTGCTGTACTTAAAGGGTCATGGGACTTAGTAACTATAGGGTTATAATTACGGTAGCTATACTTATAATTACTTATAACTCCATTAGGGTACTTAATAACCTTACTTACTAAGTCCCATGATCCTCCAAGTAGTGCATTTGGCAGGCATCGGACTACGATCTTCGTCCCCTAAGCTGAGAAAACCATCCAACTCAACCGCTGAAGACCTCAGTTGGGTTCTTTTGACAAACCAAAACATGTAGTAAACTCATCGAAAGCTGAAATGCAGCTCATTCCACGAGTACTATGAGGGCTTCCACGAACACCGCCGACATGCTATTGAAGTATCATGACTGCAAGCCTGGCCCTCATTGTGGGTGCCGGCTACCCACAATGCTTGGACAGCTCATCACGTTTGGATTCTTTCAGGAGCCACATCTGGATGCATCGAATGTGGCGGTAGCCATTGGGCGAAAGATTGTCCGGAGGCTGCTGCACGTAAAGGCGGCCGCATCTCCCGAATGTCCCTGAATCGATGCTGGGCTTATCAGAGCTTGGAGAGGCAACGGTTCGAAAGCCATGTGAGGCACAGTTGCACTCCGCCAGAAAGATCCCCCGGTTTAGGGTTTAGGGGCCAAGTTGTAGACCAAAGATGTTAGGCGCTTAGGATTCAGGGATTAAGGAGGGCACCTGACTTCTCGCTTGTCCAGCACATAGTCAGGTCAGCTGCGTGAATCGCAATGTCTAGCACTCCAGATTTAGGCCTGCAGCGTGCAACAGCGGAAAGCCGCGAATGCGTCTTGGGATCACACAGGCTGCCTAGGCCACTGTAAGTCCACAGTTCCCGAAGCCGCAAGCGTTGAGACTATGCTTGCCCTCTGGCAAGGTGGCAAAGGCGGGGCCGCGCCAGCCCGGTTGGTTGCGATGGGTGACATGTTTTGTTGGAAGAGTTTCTTACACGTTCCTCTTTGGGAATAGGGTTCTAAATATGAACACCAAAAGGAACTACTGTGGAGCCTTAGGGCACCTCGGGTACATTGCACATGGCTCTCACGGCTTCATGATTTGAGGTCAACCCGGACACTCTCTCCAGTCCGAGTCCAAGGCTCTAATTACCCATAGGCCCCATAGTAGTTCCTTTTTGGGCTTCCTCTATAGGATTCCAAATATGAACCCCAAAAAAGGAACTCCTATGGAGCCTTAGGGTAAACTTGCAAGGCTGGCCCCGACGCAAAGGCCGTGAGCGGCCTGGTCTTCAAGGAGGCTGCCTCGGGCACACACACACACACACACACACACACACACACACACACACACACACACACACACACACACACACACACGCACACACACACGGTTTTGCGAGGTTCAGCGCTTGGGGTACTGTTGTCACTGTGCTTGTTTCTGATGCCCCTACTTTTCCTAGGATTCTGCTGTCACGATTGCTCCTGCTATTCCTTGCCTCCATTTGTTTGAATATTGTCACATGTGTTTTAGGGTTTAGGAGGGGCTCGGTGGCAACCTAGCTGAAACCCGATAGTAGTCTGCTAACTAACACTGGCCACTAGCCGGTTCACGCCCTGTCAGCTTTTCAAAGAAACTGATCCTGACGAAGCCCCCGAATCCCAAATCGTAAGCTCTTCACCCATTGCTGTCCGCAGGCAGCAAGGGAGGTGTCGTGCCAGGGCCTGAACATCACAGGTTTCCGTGTGTGGTTGTCGAGTTTTGGCCAGATTATGTTGCATCCACTTGGTCATCTACTGTGGAATAATTAGAATAGGGTTTGGGGGCCCCTTGTACTGTAAATATAACAAGGAACCTCCACAATACTATAGGTAATTGTTCAGGCCTCTATAGTATGCGTCCGCCCTGTGCCTCAGCACTGTGTGTACTTGCTTGTGTCGCGCGATGTTGGTATGTCGTTAAGGTACATCTCATCACATGACATCAGACGCTGCAAACAGACGCCTGGGTGATTCATGAAAGAGCGCACAAAGTTCAGTGCTTCGGCCCGGCTTCGAGAATCGCAAATAGCAGGAGCTGGCGTTCTCTCCCGCCTCATCTTGCTTGTTTTCACATCTGGAGTTTTAGTTACATAGTTACACCACCTACCTACCTACCTAGACCTACCTACCTATCTCCCTGCCTGCCTACTACTTCCCTGCTTGCCTACCGCCCTACCTACCTACCTGTATACGTTGAGATCCATCCGTCCGTCCGTCCATCCGTGCATGCATGATCGTGTACATACATATGGGTGTGCTTACCTGCACGTGTACAAGCATATGTACCTACGTACAACAGACGTATGTAACACACACGTACCTGTAAAACCTCGCAATAGATGGTGTCTGAAGAATCTGTGGACATGTTGGCAGGTCCGTGCAGGATACACAGCAGGATCCTTCTTCTCGGCGTGCCAAGCCTGCACATTTGTTAAGGGTTGTCCCTAGGGATCTAAGGACTCGTATATGAAGGCTTTTGGGCCCGACGACCATTAATTACTATATCAGGCTTTTGGGCTATTTTGATGCCCGGGTTGTTACCATGAAGTCTACAAATACCGAATTCATCAACCCAAGCACCACATACCCTGAGACCCAAACCCCAAATGCGAACGCCCTGAACCGTTAAATCTCTACCTGCACACTCCTGACTCCTCCAGCTCCCAACCCTTGTGACAGTAGTTCGCAGGCCCCAAAGTAGGTCCTTTTTGGGATTACCCTATAGGATTCTAAATATGAACCGCAAAAAATAACTACTACGGAGCCTTAGAGTAGTCATCGACTCTAACGAAGGCTTGTTCTGGAATAGTTCTGTAATGATGATATTTGTAACAGAGGGAAACTACAATGTGACAAGGTTAGGGGAGCAGGGGCTAGTGGCTAACGTGTCCAGTGTGGGGCAGGAGCCTTGCAGGCGCACTTTCTGCTCAAATGTAGCGTGCAATGCTGACTCAGGCATAGGGCAAAGAAGCTGAAGTTGGGAGTTTTGCTGGTAGAGTGCGTGGCCTTGCTGCCACGGAAGTCATCCCATACCCATCTGATTACTGGTCATCAGAAGGGCATCCGGGTCGGTGGCTGCAGACTTCGATTGTTATCATGGGGCTGCGACAGTCGGCAGCTCACGACAGATGTTGCAAGACCCCTGGGATCGCACAGTCGCACCCCAGGTCCAGAATATCCCCCTGAGCAATCAGTTCCGGGGCGTCACGGCCTCGGTTTGGTTGCACGGCAATGAACCCTGAATTGTACACTCGGTGGCACAGGACCGCCTCACAACACAGCCATGAGGCTTTTAGACGCGAGAGATCCCGTAGAACTACGGCACGCCACTGGCACTTGCAGCTGAGCTCCCCTCAAGCCTCTACTGTCCTACGGTCCGGGCAGAGCATGTCGGGGATGAGACGAATATTCATTAATAAGCATGAGCGCTAATTACAGCCACGATGCTCTACCCACTCAACCTTCAGCCTGCGAGAACGCTACGAGTTCGGACTTACCAGAGCAGCCAAAGAAGCAGGTTTGGTTGTTGGTGGGCGTTGATGCTGGGAGGCCTATGTCACCTTTCCGAGAACATGAGCGCGAAGGTTGAAATCCCAGGAACCTCCGTAGTAAGCCCTTCAGCAGTCGCAAGCTAGCTGATTCTGGGCCTTTATCACAGCAGCAAGGCCAGCCACAAGACGACCTCCAGGCACTGGGATGCTGCATCCCGTTCACGAAGTTTCCCGTAATAGCAGCGTTTGCAGTAGCTGTGATGGGCAAGCTCCCATTCCAACCCCCATTGACGGAATGTCGATTTGTGACGCAAAACGGCCTCGTGGTTCCTGATCACAGACAAGTGCATGTACATGCATGTGTACATAAAATGTATGCATATGTATTCAAATGTGTCTGAATGTGTATCTGTATGTGTATGTCTCTAGTCTGTGTTTGTGTATGTGCACATTGTATGTGTTTATGTATGTGTATGTTGATGTATATATATATATATATACACATACACACATACATGTGTGAGTGTATGTATGTATGTATGTAATGTAATGTAATGTAATGTAATGTATGTATGTATGTATGTATGTACGTACGCAGGTATGTATGCATGTATGTATATATGTATGTAGATCTACCAGCTTATGTGTTTTATTTATATATTCCTTTATGTATTCATCTATCCATCTACCTGCCTATCTGTTAATCTCTCTTTCTCTCTGTGTCTTTATGTCTCTTTGTTTGCTTGCATGCTTGTTTGTTGGTGTTGTATATGTTCTGTGTTGTATTTTCATTTTTGCATATATGTATAACTAGTTAGATGTACACACATACAGTCATACATTTCTACGTATGCATGGATGGACGGATGAATGGATGTATGTGTATGCGCATGTGCAAAGGCATGTGCGGGTGCAGGTGCATGTCTGTAATCATCTATGTATGTATGTATGTATGTATGTACGTAGTTGGGTAGCTATGCAGCTACATGGGTATGTGGGTAAGTAAGGTTGGGTACGTGGGTATGCAGGTATGTTATGTCGCTATGTATATGTGCACATGTGCATGTATGCGCATACATACGTGCATGCGTGCAACTCGCCATCATACCATATAGCAAAAATTCCGCAGTCCCACACGAGCCAGTATAATACTTGTTTACTTGACTATGCGATGACGATGGTAGAGGCATTGGGGTTTGAGATGTACGGCCTGCCATGGGGTTGAGTTGGGGTTTAGGGCCTGTTGCTGGACAGGCGCGCATCGCCAGCATTGCGGCCCAGTCAAAGGCCCGCGCTGAGGCTTGGGTCGGCAGGGCGGAGTTCGTTGGGTCAGTGGCTCCTAGTAATAGTAATAGTAATAGTACTATCGATTGAGGGTATTTTTCCTAGACCTAAAGCCTAAACTGCCCAAACCGGTATGGTTGGGGCTTGGCGCCTGGCGTTTAGGGCCTAAGTCGGATGGCGGTGCACGGTTCGTCGTTTCAATGGGAGCCCATGCCCTAGCACAAGACCACTGCAACATGGCCCCAAAACCCTGCACAAACTCTGCAGTAGTAGCAGTAGCAGTAGTAGTAGTAGTAGTAGTAGTAGTAGTAGTAGTAGCAGTAGTAGTTGTTGTTGTTGTAGTAGTAGTAGTAGTACACCAAAGCACTCAGCCCAAGAGGCCGCGCTGTGTCGCCTTGCTAGGACTTTAAAACGTAAGCTCTTCGCTTTTCGAAGGGGATTGCCGAACTGCTTGCGGAAGAGGCCGGCGAAGCAATCTTGGGTGAGACCTTCTCCAAGGCATCTTTGATTTCCTCCTGAGGTTTAGCAGACTTTCAGGCTTCAGCTTCAGGTGCACGATATCTTCGAAATAGTTCTGGGACAGGCTGCGAGGACAGCATTTAGGAGACCGGATGCTGCGTCATCTTTGAAAGGCGACAGAAGTCAGTGCAAGTTGGTTGTACTCGGCCCCTAAATTCAACCCCGACAAAAGTCGGAGCCAGGTGTGGCTAGCTTGCAGGGACAGACGACCTGAAGAATCCACAGTGCTCAAACACCTTCCTGAGACTTTAGGGCAATGGGTTTGAAACATTGAGGGCGATTGAGTGAAGGTTTACAAGGGCTGAAAGTTTTGGATTGATGGTTTTTGGGATGCTCCAAGCCGTAGCCTTTGCAAGTAAGCCCCAGATCTCACCCTTTGAAACCCGCATCCCCCAAGCTGCTGCAGGGGGGCAAGCACGACAAGCCGGTGGAGGACGGTCACGCAGTTGCTGCAGCAATTCTTCGATACGGAGATCCCAGAATCGACAGTGCGAGTGAGCGAAGAGAGCTGGCTAGGTTTCTTGCGAATCCAGTTGAGATCACAAGCCCCTGGCACCAGGAGGAAGAAGTCTCCTCAGATCAAGGCGAGAAACAACGGTTCGCCGGGCTCGGGAGGATTCCAGCAGAGCGGGATTCAGAGGGCAGAATGCACCAGATTTGCCCAGAGATGAAGTCGCTTCGGACACTCCCCTCTTCATCGAAAGTGTCAGTCTGCCGTCTTGCCTTACAGGATGTTGAACTTCCCGAAAGCTTCTTCGGACCTGCAGCCAGAATCATAGCTGTGTTGATCGAGGTTAGGGAGATTCGGCAGCCATGTCCACGCAAACGCCGGGTGCAAATCTTCGCAGGTTCTGACACCGCTGGGGAAGACCACGGCTATTCATCAGGTGCACCACTTGTTGCTCAATGCCCCTCCATGGCCTCGCCTCATAGTATTCGCAGTTCTGAGGTGCCGTAGAATTCTTGAAGGTTCATGGGACTGAGCAAACCATATTGTAACCATGCTTGTAGTCACTTATCACCCCCAATCAAGGTATTTACGACCTTACTTACGAAGTCCCATGATCCTCCAAGTAAAATCGTACGAGCCTGCAGCCGACCGGTGGCTTTTCAGGTGGGTGGTTGTCAAAATTACCAAAATTAGGGTCCCTTTTTGGGTCCTTAATATAATGTTTAGGCCCTTTTGGGGTCCTTCATAAAATGTTTAGGGTGCCCAAAAAGGGACCCACCGAGGTGACTACGCGGTTGACCGGGACTTCGAGAGCGCTGGGAGTTTTCAGGTCTACTGCCGGCGGTTCGGTGTCTCTTTTTGTAAAGGGTTAAAATTTCGTTGTTTTGCTTGTTTTTGTCTGGAAGGTGTGAAGGAAGAGGGCTGGGTGGGGAGTAAGGATTTGGGGTTTAAGATTTGATGTTTGGACCTTTTCGAAACGTCGGCGTTGCGGATGTAATGTTGCTGAGAGCTGAGGTTGTAGCTTCAGACTTCCAGTACTCAGCACCCGTTGTGCTTGACGCTGTTACGCTCCGAAAAATCGAAGTGAGCCGCTGGCCTCGAAACCCTAAACCCTACTTCTGAAACTTGCTTAATGAAGCCACATGTTATGAAGACCGAGTTGCTTGTGTTGCATGTTTTGTGCACTGCTACATGCTGCAACTGTTGCTCGCTTCGGACAACTTTCGTGTTAGAGCGCTTCTTTTGTCTGCTCACCCCGACAGACTGACTGTGTGTCATTCCATAGCATCGCTGTGCCGACGGGTTCACTTCATGAGTGCTGAGTGCTTCTGCACAAACACCAGACACTCAAGGTATGAGCTATCGTTAGTCTGATACATGAGCACCCCCACCTGCCCAAACTTTTTATACCCGAAATTCTGAAAAGAGAAGGGGTCGAAGCATCATGGCCCTAAGTTTGCTGTTTAGTCAGGACACTGAGTCTGGCGACGACGACCAGCCACAGTGGAGCTGGCCCACGCGCTCCTCTGAGCTCTCGTTTGCCTCTACCCGGAGAACCCAATACCCCTTAATTAAGGAATAGACCTTAAATAATAGGGACTTAATATTATGATTTAAGGTATATTCATTAATTGAGGGGTATTGGGATCTCTGGGTAGGGAGTCAGGGACCCGAACTCAGCGGGTTTAGGACACCTGGACTCTGGCTAGGGCTCGGGGCCGTTGACGTTGAGGACTCGTCGGGAACGGGGGTCGAAACCCTAAACCCTAAACCCAGGTCAGCGACGAAGCAATGCTCCTTGCTGGACAAGCTCGTCCTGGGCCAAGGCTTCCTAACTCTGCCATGGTATGATGAGCTCCTATGCCTTATACCCAAATGCCCCAAAGTAGTTTCTTTTTGGGGCTCCTATTTAGAATTCTATAAGGTAATCCCAAAAAGGAACACCGAGGAAACCTGGGCTTCTGTCCTCTTGCGAGTGTCATTCCTGACAGTTCTTGCTCGGCTTACGTGTTCAGGGTAAACCTTCTCCGAGCTCTTCGCTCTTGGGCTCCTATACGCAGACTCATAACGGCATGGCAAGGGAAGAGCCCCCCCCCTCGAGCAGAAGCAGCATGCCATGCGACGTCGCAGCAGGTTCTGCAGCTTTGGAGGACAAGGAGGTCCGGCTGCTCTGACTTGCGTCTGGGAAGCGGGGAGGAGTTGAGGAATCGCGCATAGTCTGGGTATGAGGATCATGGATGTCTCATCCTCCCTTTTCAACAAAAGCAGCTCAGAACCTCACATAGCTGCCCAGCTATCGCACGCTTGCTGAAGGCTCTCGACCTTTATACTCGAGAGATGTAGGACTTTGAAGCTGAAGTCCATGAGCAAACTGACCGAAAGATGAACTGCATTTGGGATGCTAGACTTCACCGCAATGTGCAAGCCTCGCCATCCAGGATTGCTCCAGATGCTGCAAGCCCCCCCCCCCCCCCCCAAACTTCGTAAGAGTGAGGGAGCTGAAGTCTTCGGGTCTTTCGTCGTCTTCCCATTGGTCAGGCTCTCCTCCGGGTGCGGCCTGCCAGGGAGTGGGTGCAAGCCGCCTTGGGCTCAGTACTTCTGTGGCTGGACAAAGGACTTTGATGCAACTGGAGTTTCAAGGGTAGTACAGGCTGCATGTATTATGAAAGGGCATAAGTATGGCAATACTAGGGAGCTTATGTCGAACGATGCCGCGAACTATCCGAGTCAACAGCAAAACACACACTCGTGTTTATTTCTTTCGTCAGCAGAAGAAGAACGCACATACACACACACACACACACAGCGGACAACCCAAACCTAATGTAGGAGAACTTTGGAACCTGCTTGAAGCGTTGGTTTTGCGACCTGTCGAGTTCTTTGCAAATCCAGACAGATGCAGAAAATTCGGGAATCAGTTCCATTATAAGTGCAGACACTGATGGCAGCTCGGGTCCCGTCGGTGTTTCTGTCAGCATTTTGCTTCTTCCATGATGAGGGCTTGGTTGGGCTATGCCCAACGAAGACGGGTGCTTCCATGGTTCTACCAGAGATGGCATTCCTACTGACCCAGTGTGCTAGGTTGCTATATAGCAAAACCTAATAGTAACCAACCTAACCCAATATACATGTGCAAGCATATATATATATATATATATATATATGTGTGTGTGTGTATACATATGCATCCATCTTGACATTTCGACTAAGGTCCGAGGCTTGTCCGCCAGGGCTCGGAAGCGGCTCATGGAATCCGCCTCGTGTCCCTCCGGGGCTCCTGGCATCGCCTCGGATGCGCCTGGGCCCCGAGCCCTTTTCTGCAGATGTTATAGTTGTTTAGGGTCTAGGGTTTAGGTTGTTTGTATTGGGGGTTTTGTAATCTGAACTGCTTTCGAGCGCTTCGGCATGCTAGAACCATTGAGTTCCGGGTGTTCTCTATTTCAGGAGTGCGGGGATTGAGGTAGAGAGTTGAGGCTTAGGGACTCGGCTTAGCGGTTCCGGGTGAAGGATGAGAGCTCCAGGGAGATTCGGGTTGGCGGGTTAAGGGGCCTTGCTGCCGGATGGAATAGGCCGTCGGGCTTGCGGTTTTTCTGGCGGCCCTTCCTAGCCAGGAGGATTCTGTTGGTCAAGGGCATGGAAAGGATTGACATCGACGTGCTAGTGTACAGGAGTTAGTGGGCTTTGTGAAGTATTCACCACTGCGTCGGCCCACCCACAGGCCTGTACAGCTGCAGGTTTTAGGCCTACAACTTCTCTAAAGTTTCATCACGGCTTTAGTCGTTACTTCTACGACTACGCTTCTTCCTTCCGTTCTGATCATTCTTGCTTGTACCCATAGGCTCCATATTAGTTCCTTTTGGGGAGTACCTTACAGGATTCTAAACATGAACCCCAAAAAGGAACTACTATGGAGCCTATGGGTACTTCCCTTCTTCTTCCGAGGCTGCGGCTTCTCAGGGGCCGCCTCACGCTTTACGAAGCCCTCTCGGCGATCATGGCTCAATTGACCTCAGTCAAAGGGGAAAAGGAGGGACCCTTAATGGGGACCCCTGCCCTATAATGGGGTATATAATGGGTATATACTAGCTATATTAAGGGTATATACCTAGAGGTCCTTATTAAGGGTCCCTCCTTTTACCCTTGGACTCAGGAGTTCCTGTTTCTCTTGGTGAAGCCTCTTTGGGCCTAGTAGTTGAGCCTTTCGAGTGCCAGGACTTTGGGATGCAGGGGATCTGGAGTGCAGTCTTTATCTTAACCCCCTTATTCTACCGTTTGAAGGACTCATATACGGAAATCATAAAAAGGAACCCTAGACATGTCATGTAGGTTCCTCAAAAACCGCATGTTCGAGTCTCTCAGGCTCCGGGAAATCTAACGGGCTTCGGGCTCTGCGAAATGGGAGTTTCCGCAAATGGGGGAACCTGATATAGTACCGTAGATAGCAGGCTCCTTATTATAAGGACCCCCCAAATAAGGCACCCCCTAATTTTCGGAAATTCCCATATGCAGATTTTATGTAGATTCAGCCCTTTCGGACGAGACGTCGACACCGACAGCGCCAGTCGCCGTCAAGTAAGAGGAATACGGGAGTCGGAGGCAGCATTTTTTGCTGTGAGGGTTGCTACTGCGGGCGTTTATGGGACGAAGTCGTCGTCGTTTCTGATGTTATCGATGCTGTTGTGGCTCTGCTGTTGTGGTTGTTGTTGAAGCTGCTGGTGGCAGTGGCTTGTCAATGCAATCTGTCCTCCATCTGGGTAGTTGTCAAAATTAGGGTCCCTTTTTTCGGTACCTTAAATAATAGGTGCCGTATTATAGGGACCCAAAAAGGGACTTTAATTTTGACAACCACCTATCTAAACTTCTCAGATGCGTCACCCCCACCCTCCGCCCTCTTGACAGTGGAGAGGTTCCTGAGACCTGTGCTACCCTAGCTTTATCAAGCCAGGGCCGTGATACTGGATTTTAATTCACTGGTCGCAATACTTACCAGAGTTTTTTCTAGGGTTCCTCATGATAAATGTACTACAACGTGCCCCAAACCCTATTCTAATTCTTAGGGGCCCTTCTGCCCCTATGCTAAACCCGCTCTAGGTATCCCTTAAAAGAACCCACGAAACTCATCCAATTACTACAATAGGGGCCTAAATAAGTACTATACTATTTTGGGGGTTCCTTATTATAATAGTAGTAGAGTGGGCCCTCAAAACCTTATTCTAATTCATAAGGCCCCTATATTATAGTTCCCTTATAGATCCCTTACAGTAACCCTTATAGACCCCCTTAAAGGAACCCTATTCTAACTATTAAGGCCTCTATACTATAGTACCCTTATAGATCCCTTATAGTAATTCAGCCTTATAGACCCCTTCAAAGGAACCCTACTCTAACTATTAAGGCCCCTATATTCATCATTACGGCCCTTGTTTTTCCTCTCTTTAGCCAGGCCCTGGGGCCCCTTTGGGCGCACCCAGCCGGGCTTCTTCGCGCTTCGGCGCAGCGTCAGCTGAATTTGCTGTGCAGCGAACCCAGAGGGCTTTGCAGGAACAGTTTTGTGTGTGTGTGTGTGTGTGTATATATATATATATATATATATATATGTGGGTCTGCACATGTATAAATACCGTGTACTGCCATTCGAAGATTTCAAGCATAGATATGTGCAAGCACACGATCGGCGGCTTGTTCAAGAGATTCTGCTGTGCTAAAGAGCTCGCCGAGTAGCTTTCACGGGCAGCTGTCCGGTGCGTAGCCAATATTCCCTGAAAGTGGACGCATCTCAAACCATCGCCATCTCGGTGAGCGCTAAGCTCGGCGCGTCAGTGCTTGCAGGGAGCTCCGCGTGAACAGCCGTTGAGCATGCCAGCACGCAAGC